AAAAAGACATTCTTGAAAATTATAAGCAAAAAGAGATAGAGAGGTGTAAAGGGGTTGCTCAAACAATACTTTCTTAATTGAGGTTTTAAAGGAGTTCATTGATGATAACAATGAATGTAGGATCAATTTTGTTTGATAAGGAAGAAACTTCATTATAAGCATCATTAATAAATGAAGATGAAAAAGAAAGCACAACTGTAATGACAACACTTATAATATTAAAAACATAGTGAAATAATAATAACAATAATTTTAATATAACAACACTCATAGTTAGATTTAGCTTATTTGAGTTGCTTAGTGTTGTCATCTTCCTCGTCTACATTGATATGGTAAAATGATTGTTAACAAGGTGGCAAAAATAAAGATGGGTTTATTTGGTTTGGTGACGTAGCAATTACAGGATAAAAAATAACTAAATTTATAGAAACAAGGTGTTTTTAATATGAGAATCAACCAATGACTCTTTACGATTGTCATTACTCAAAATTAACCATCAAAATCAGTCTCTATCTAGATTTAGTCAGTCTATTTTTTCAATTATTATCGCACATCACAAATCATTGGCATCTATTAGAGATCCGTTATCAAATGATCCACTAAAAAGAGACACGAGGAAAGATTATGGTATTTCACTATGTCATTTCACTATAAAAAATTTATTATTTGGCATTTCTTCTTAAAAATATAGGTATTTAGTTGGTCAACCAAGAGAAATTTATTAAAAACACTAGATTTAGAGCTTGATTTGGGTTTAATTTTAGTGATTGATTCAAGTTTAGAAATGGAAAGAAATTGGTGTCTAATATATATGAAAATAATTTGATTATTTTACTTAATTTAAAATTTTATATTAAAAAATAGAGATAATTTTTTTTAATAAGGGTAATTTTTTTTATAATGATAAAAAATAAATTAATATTTTTTTTAAATTAATATAAATATTTAAATTAACTTGCAATATCATAATTAATTTTACAAAACTTTAAAATTAATGAGAAAATAAATCTTTAAAGGCTATTATATAAGTAAAGAAGGACCCGAAGCTGAGCTAGGAAGCAAACCTTTTGAAAGAAAAAATTAACATTTTTTTTTATTTGCGTGGGGTGTCCGGGGTCAGCTTACGCGCACCACGACTAATCCCCACGGCCCACTGAATATACTGCAAGCCCAATGAGTAGATAAGACACCGCAGAAATAACAAGCATATACAATAAAACTCGAATCCAGATACGAAAAAAGAAGACAAGCTCTTCCCACCGCTTAGCTATAACCTTACTTGCAAGAAATTAACATTTTGATAGAAGAACAAATGGCTAATATTGTCAATCCATGAAAAACAAGATTTGTCGGCTATCCAAGTAAACAACACCAATACTATAAATCTGTTCTGCCTTCCAATCTTCACTCTGTGTCTGTCAAAAGATCCCGGTTTTCCAAAATCTCAAAGATCTCTCTGCTTGCTGCACAATTCTTCTACGTTAAAGACTCCTCTCTTCGTTTCTCTCTTTTGCATCACTCTCTGTACAAGGTCAGGTTATCTTTCTCTTGTGTTTTACACCTCTAAATAGCTAGACTTATTTGTATCTTTTTCTTTTTAATGTCAAGATCTTGACTTTTACTGAAAAAAACAATAAAGACCAATCCTTTAAGGCATAATAACTTGTTTTCACGATCTGGGTCTTTCAGATCTGACTGAAATCCTTTCAAAGTTCTAAAGAAATGGACTTTTTTGCTTATTTGAAGATCTGGGTCTTGATCCTTTGTTTGGTTTTCCAATCTGGATATGGGTTTTACCTTCCTGGTAGTTACCCTCACAATTATGGCATTGGTGATACTTTATCAGTGAAAGTGAATTCAATCACTTCTATTGAGACTGAGATTCCTTTTAGCTATTATAGTTTGCCTTTCTGTAAGCCTTTAGAGGGTGTTAAAGATAGTGCTGAAAATCTTGGTGAGGTTCTTATGGGAGATAGGATTGAAAACTCACCTTACAAGTTCAAGATGCATACCAATGAGACCGATATCTTTCTGTGCCGTACCGATCCTTTGTTGGGCGATCACTTTAAGCTTCTAAAGAAGAGGATTGATGAGATGTATCAGGTGAACTTGATTCTTGATAATTTGCCTGCGATAAGGTATGCTAAGAAGGAGTCTTATTTTTTGAGGTGGACGGGGTATCCAGTGGGGATTAAGTTTCAGGATGCTTATTATGTGTTTAATCATTTGAAATTTAATGTACTTGTTCATAAGTACGAGGAGGCCAATGTAGCACGTGTGATTGGAACTGGAGACGGGTCGGAATTGATTCCTACTGTTGGGAGTGGGGGATCAGACCTTCCTGGGTATATGGTTGTTGGTTTTGAGGTGGTTCCTTGTAGTGTCATGCATAATGCTCAGTCTGTTAAGAACTTGAAACCCTATGAGAAATACCCATCTCCTATTAATTGCGATCCCACCACAGTGGCAATGCTGATTAAAGAGAATGAGCCAATTGTTTTCACTTATGAGGTTACATTTGAGGAGAGTGATATCAAGTGGCCATCGAGATGGGATGCTTATTTGAAGATGGAGGGGTCCAAGGTCCATTGGTTCTCTATCTTGAATTCTCTGATGGTGATCACTTTCCTTGCTGGTATTGTCCTGGTCATCTTCTTGAGGACTGTCAGGCGGGATCTGACCCTTTATGAGGAACTTGACAAGGAAGCTCAAGCACAGATGAATGAGGAGTTATCTGGGTGGAAGCTTGTTGTGGGCGATGTTTTCCGTGCTCCAACTAATTCTGGGCTATTGTGTGTTATGGTTGGAGATGGGGTGCAGATTCTTGGGATGGCAGTTGTGACAGTAATGTTTGCTGCCCTTGGATTCATGTCTCCAGCTTCCCGTGGAACTCTGATTATAGGCATGCTAATTTTCTACATGATTCTTGGTATTGCAGCTGGCTATGTTGCAGTTCGCCTTTGGAGGACAATTGGCTGTGGTGATAAGAAGGGATGGGTTTCAGTATCTTGGAAGGTTGCCTGCTGCTTCCCTGGCATTGCCTTTTTAATTTTAACCACTTTGAATTTTCTATTATGGGGTAGCCATAGCACAGGTGCCATTCCGTTCTCTTTGTTTGTTCTTCTAATTTTCATGTGGTTCTGCATCTCGGTTCCTCTTACCCTAGTTGGGGGATTCTTTGGGGCAAAGGCACCTCATATTGAATACCCTGTTCGAACCAACCAGATTCCTCGGGAAATCCCAGCTCAAAAATATCCATCGTGGCTATTGGTCTTTGGAGCTGGAACTCTTCCTTTTGGAACGCTCTTCATTGAGCTCTTCTTTATCATGTCTAGTATCTGGATGGGCCGTGTTTACTATGTTTTCGGGTTTCTCTTGATTGTTTTCATCCTTCTTGTGGTGGTTTGTGCTGAAGTATCTCTTGTCTTAACCTACATGCATCTCTGTGTGGAGGACTGGAAATGGTGGTGGAAATCCTTCTTTGCTTCTGGTTCAGTTGCTATCTACATTTTCCTGTACTCTGTAAACTATCTCATATTTGAGCTTAAGAGTTTGAGTGGCCCTGTCTCGGAAGCACTTTACCTTGGCTACTCCCTCTTGATGGCTTTGGCAATTATGTTTGCAATGGGCTCAGTTGGGTTCCTGTCATCTTTCTGGTTTGTGCACTACTTGTTCTCTTCAGTGAAGTTGGATTGAAGAACTTTCTTGAGCCAAGCATCATGGCCCTTCGAAGAACAATACTATCATTTGGGGCAGAAATGAATGCGACCCTTCACAGAAGTCCATCATGCTTTACATTTCTTTGAGTTTATTTTGCTAGAATGTTTACTATATGTTTTACTATAACAATAATTTCGCTCAGTTTTGCATAATTCTTTATTAGACGGAGATCATGGGATGGTAGCATGTTACACAAGCTCATCATTTTGGCATAGTTGGTAGTCGGTGGGATTTCCCGAATGTACTTTGTTCATTCAGTTCTATATGAGGATCGAATGCATGTAGCAATGTTTGTCATTTGTATTTGACTTCATTAGTCATGCGTTAATGTTATTTCTTGTGTCTCTGGTCTGATCTTGAGTCCATGCCTGCATTTACCATGCACAGAGGCCAGCCTTTCTTTTTCTTCCATCCTAATTTTTGAAACTCCGAGCAAAACAACTTTAGGTAAAAAATACGTGTAGGAAGTTTGGTTTTTTGAAGCTGTAAGTAGAAAGTGAGCAATTTAAGAGGACTTGAAACATAATATCATGAAATTAAAAGAATATAGTAGTAAAACTGGGGGAAACATTTTGAAGTCCGAAATTTTGGTTTAAACAGTAAGGGAATTTATTCAATCAGCTTTGAATACAAAGAAGGCTCAAGAAAGAAGAGAATTTTCATGAATATATTAAGATGGTCAGACGTGAAAAGGCCTAAAAAATTGAAGAAGATGAGTATCTGTGGCGTCCGTTAATCCGTTAAAGCATCTACCATCATCACCTCCATGTCCTCCTCAAAAACCTTTGCTTCTCTTCAATGAACTTGATCTCTCAGTGTCTAGACAAACAAGAATGGCAAACAATGTTAGACACTTCACTGACATCTCTCCACTCTACCAATGTCCCTCTCTCTCCTTTTTCTTCTCTCTCTGCATCTTCATCATCCCTCTCTTTCCGACAATCTTCCCAAACACATCGCCATCTTGTCTCCTTTGGCCCCAATACTACAACCCTTTGCAGGACAAACTCCAAACCTAAGGTTTGATTGTTTTTTTTTATATATATATTATTGTTTATTTTTGTGTTTTAAATATGTTTTTGTAAAAAAATTAAAAATATATATATATTGATTTTAAATTATTATATTTTGATGTATTTAGATTATTTTAATATACTTTGTCAAAAATAATTTTAAAAAAAATAAAAAAATATTATTTTAATATATTTTAAAAAACAAGTATTATTGTATATTTAAAATTAAAAAATATATATTATTTTAAAACAATTTCATGCAAGTGTTTTTGCAAATGGGTGCGTTTTCTTTTCCTGGTTTATGACTGTTAAGCACATGGATTAAGTTTCTAAGTCCGTTTTCTTTGGCGCGTGCAGGGGATATTGAGGGTGAGTTGTTCCACAAATGAGCCATTGAAGGTGATGATATCAGGTGCACCGGCATATGGCAAAGGCTCTCAGTGTGAACTAATTGTTAAGAAAGTAAACTCTTCCATCATTTTTATTCTTTTGTAATCTTCAATTCTTTTGATTTATGGTCACTACTTGGTTATTTGAAGCACTAAAATTTGAGTTATTTGGATTATGAGGGTTCACATGGCATTGAAGTTAGAAGTTGGTATGTGAAAGTAAATCATTCTCCCTCTGCATTTTGGCGCAGGATTGTTGAGTTTGAATTGCACGAAAGGGGTTTTAATTATTTGCACTGGGATGAATTGAGCGAAAGGAGAGGGTTAGTTTTCGATGTGCAACCGTTGAATTAAAATGAAGAAGATTGTCATTTATCTAAGTGATATATATTGCCTTCATTAAACATGAACTGGAGAGGGTTTTCCCCTTTGATTAGAAATTGTGTTTGGCTCCTTGATTTCATTTCATTCTGAAATTAGTTTTTTAGGCCGCATTCTCTTCAGCCTAAGTGATGATTACATGTCATCTTTTCTCTGTATTGATTTTTACAGTTTGGATCGGTACACATCTCAACTGGAGATCTTCTAAGAGCTGAAGTATCTGCGGGGACAGAAATTGGCAATAAAGCAAAAGAATTAGTGAATGCTGCTCGTCTGGTTCCTGATGAAATTGTGACAGCTGTACTATTTCCTCCATGAACTTTATTTACTAGCTTCTACTTTGTTATCATTTCCTTTCTCAGGTACGTAAGGAATGAATTGTTTCACTTTGTAGATACTGACATCCCTATTATCATATGATGATGCAAAGGAAACATGGTGGCTTCTAGATGGCTATCCGCATAGTTCTGCCCACGCAGAAGTCTTGAGAAATTGAATGTCAGGCCAGTTATCTATGCCGTATTGGATGTACATAAATTGAATAATAATGCTATCTTTGCTAATGATTATGTCAGACGGTGATAGTGCTCAGCTTCCAATGAGGTTATTAGGAATTCATTTACTCCAATCATTGGTGAATAATCCAATATTTTCACAGGAAACAAAATTTCTGTACATGTTCATCAAAATGCATGTACGTTTCTGTGCTATAAAAACTGACATAAAACCTACTAGGATAATTCCAAAATTCTATGTTGTATTTGAACCTTCTGTAGTTGGTTTTTCTATGAATCACATGCTTTGAATGCCAACATTGGTTTTACATCTGTGGTTTTTCTCTTAAATGTTTCTCCTAATGTAGTGGATGTTTTAAATGTTGAACGCTCTAATGAATGGAGAAGGTTCTCTGCAATAATGCCTTGGTTTGCATTAAACATTTTCTAACTCAAACTCTGCGTGACCTTGATATTCATGAAATATATCTTTTAACACTCAGGTTCCTGATGGAATTCTGTTTGACAGATGTGTTGGTAGAAGGCTAGACCCAGTGACAAGAAAGATTTACCACGTGAAAAATCCCCCCCAAGAGACTGAACTTAAAGCAAAACTTATAACCTATCCAGATGACACTGAAGAAAAGGAATGCTCTCTGTCACTGTTGTTCTTTGCTCATCGTTCTACTGTGATATGCACTATTGAGAGTTGAGAAATACCTTTCTGTTTAATTGTTTGTGCCTAAGATCGTATGCATTTGTATATGCTCTATAGCAGCGTACCAAGAGATTTTTTTCCCCTTCTAACTACAGAAAAAAGAAGCTTGTGTCTGTAAGAAGCACTTTACGCAAGTTTTGTATCTGTTTGGAAACTTGAACGTTTTTTTTTTTCATCTATAAAGTAATATGCCATGCGTATTTGGTACTTTTCAACTTGTCTGTAGGTGAAGGCATGTCTTGAAATATACAAGAAAAATGCTAAATCAATCCTATCCACATACTCAAACATTATGGTCAAGGTAATTTCTTTTTTTTGTTATTGTATTTCTCTTACTTATTCTGTAGATTTGCGGCAGTAATTTTTGTATGTTGCTTCATCTTACATTACAGATTGATGGAAACCACCTAAAAGAAGTGGTCTTCCAAGAAATAGGCTCTTTCCTGTCTCAAGTGCAGAAAGATAAAGCAAAATTGGTCTAACCTGGCAAGTGTTTTCAAGTTTTGAAGTTCTTATACAAGTTTGCTCAAGGTTTATATCTTTGATATATGATCGATATAATTATCTTCTTTGCTGGCTGTCACAGACTACTCTAGAAGTGAAAATATTCACAGAAATTGATTTGATCCTTTTGATGGATGCTTTGTTTCATCTTGTGTGAAACGTTAGTGGTTGGAAACATTAAGATAGATTAATTCTTTTTGCAATCACATATCTTTTATTTCAATTTATGAAACTGATTCAGCCCCACTTCAGCCAGTAATATGATAATAAGATCTTCTTATGTGTGAAGGGAAGTATAGTAGTATTCACGAGGATCGTCTGACTTTCCCCCTCAAGTTACGACCTTTTATGTTGTCTGGCAGCCTAAATAATACAACTTTTAAGTATTGAATGTTCTTCTTTTCTTCTTCTTCTTTTCTCAATATTTCTTGTAGAAATTGTGTTAACTTTATACGTATATTGGTTTTGTTGACCAATTTATACGTATAGAACCAACAGTTCGTCTCCTGATAATTCCTCTGGCTATTTATCTTGTGATGAAAGGGGCCTTTAGGTTCCCCCCTTATTAAGACCATAGAAACTGATTACAGAGTTTGGACATGGATTTCTATTTGAAGGGCTCGTGTTCAAACCACGGGGAGGCTAGGGTGGAATTTGCGATCCAGAATGGCCACCTTCTTCTATTATGCAGACAGACTAAAGCCATCTGGACCTTGCATCGAACTAGAATGTCTTGTTGGAAGTCCTGTTCCACGCCAAGCACCTTCACCAAATTACTCTGTTATTTCTCTTTTCTATTTCCATGGAGTATTCACAGTACAGGCACGTCTTACACGAAATATATGGCCACTCTTACTCCAGATACAAGGAAAATAGACTTTAATTCCACCTTGTGATGGCTATACGGGAAGATCAGTACATATAATGTCAAACCCAAATCAGATGCGGTTCCAAATCTTACTAGCAGACCACCTTTTTATTAAATACTTGATTGTCTTTAATACTCCATTGATGCAACAAAATATCAAACGTTAGACTATTGTAGATAAGAAGAAGAAGGAGAAGAAGCAAGTAATCAACATTAATAGGATAAAAAAAAAAAACACTTTCTGAGAAGAGTTAAGAAATTGGTTAATAAAAATGAAGGTATCTACATCCTTCAACCTATGTTAGTTGTTGGAAAAACTTCAAACAGTATTTGAACCTTCCCAACCTTTTCACAACTAGTGTAATGGGTTTTGAATGATTTTTTTTCTAGACTGGATTTGTATCTCACAAATTCTTATAAAATAAGTATTTTATTGGAATAGGGGACGCTCCGACACTTGAGTTAGTAAATAATATAAAGAAAATAATGTATAGTAAAGAACAAGAACATAAGAGGGTGTAAGTTGTGATTGTTATGTATGTTATTGTATTTACACACCCCTTGGTTGTATGAAATTGCCACATGGAGAGTGAAGTTGCAGAAATACTATACATGAGTAATTATAAAGAATAATTACTTTTACCATGCAGAAAACTTATAGAATGAATTGTTGATTGATGCGTCGAGCTGTCAAATGGTCAAATAGAGTGGTGTTGCGTTTGTAATTGGTGAGACATGGAGGTGTCTGTACTCCCACTTCGTGCAACTAGTAGCTTTGCATTGGAGAATCAGCTGTGCCCCGCGTAACTCTAGTAAGTGTCTGCACGACGTTTGCACAGCATCATAGTGACAAAACTTGCACCCATAACCTCTGCAACAAAGAATTAGGTGCGCGTCGAGTAATACCTGTTGATGATTATGCATTGTCGTACTGACAAGGCATATGCTCATAACTTCTGCACATGAGTTGTGCAAGTTGTCTGGGCTAAGACTTCTCTCTCTTTTTACCTTTCTTTCGTGCATGATGTTCGGTCAAGTAAATTTAAGAATTGAAAAGGAGAGTTGTATAAGAATCAGAGACTGAATTTAAAAAAAAAATGGCTAATATATGTAATACATGCACTAGCATCTAGCCAAGCCTGCCAAATCACGGCAGCATGTGAGGACTCGTCACGGCTCTGAGAGTAATCTTTTTTCTGTATCATTAGATTCATCTGCGACAAACTCTTTTTCATGATTTACAGTGTGTTGTAATAGTAGTCACAGTGGCACTCCGATGATATATCCTTTCTCTCGGCAAGGGGGCCGGTAAGCAAGCCCGCCTTCCTCTTGTCCCAACACTATGTAAAACACGTTATGATTAGTGATCATGGCAGGCCGCAAGCAAGGCCTTGCTGCCATGGATCAGAAGGAAGCGATCATCGACGTATCTTCTGAATCTTATCTTTAGTTGAAGCTACAGCTACAGTATTCAATTAATTATAGAGACAACTTCCCGGATTTCAATTGTCCATCAAGTAAAATTGTCTTGTAAATCCACAATTCGCAAATCGTCTTCCGTATCTGGCCCACCAAGGATATTATAGAAAAAGGTGATTGTCATAGAAGAATCATTGCACACTCACAGTCTAATCTGGACGGGAACAATTGTTTTTTTTTTTTCCAGGTGTTGCAAGCAAATCAATGGAGAAAAAGAAGAGGAGGAAAGGAGAAGAAAAGGACAAAAAGAAGGTCAATCAGAGCTGCATCGTTGAAGAAGCGGTTCAGTTACTTTTGAAAATAATTTTTTTAATAAAAATATATTAAAAATTATTTTTTTAAAAAAATATTTTTAATATTATCACATAAAATTAATTTTAAAACATTAATTTAAAATAAAAAAAATTTAAATTAAATATAATAAAAGAGAGAACTTATCCCAACGCTTGAGAGACAAATTGTTACCGAAGTCACTTGAATACAATAAAGCTATCTTATCTGTTATATGTGTATTCACTATATTTTTTTTAATTTATTTTTTATTTAATTTTTAAATTTTAAATTTTTATTTTAGTTTATCGTTGATTTTTTATTTGATTTTTAAATCTTTAATTTTTATTTTAGTTTATCGTTGATTTTTAGATGGCTCTTAAATTCATTATCAATCTCATCCCACTTAAACTCAATAAAAGCTTCATTAACAAGAAATAAAAAAGTGAGAAATGAATGGGATGGTTAGCTGTACTAAGTTAGTTCATTTTTTTATTGTGTTATAACTCGTACCATGAATTTAACAAAATTAACTTAAATTATGTAAGATTGATTTAATATAATATTTCTTTTTTATTTTAATTTTTTTCATATATCTTTGAATATTTTATTGTTTTCACAGTTGAGCCTGATCAGGTTAGGCAAGTATTAAAACAACAGCACGCTAATTTTTTTTTAATGCCTAAATTAGATTTTAAACAAAGATGATGAGGTCATGTTTGGTTTATCGCTGTCAAATAAGCCACTGCGAGCCAATTCCAATACAATTGGAGTTTAGCTGTAACCAAGCAAGGAACCACCACATGGTAGAAGCTAGATTAAAAAAAATATTATTTTTTATTTATTTAAAAAAAAATAATTGACTAGGGATAAGTAAAATATGTTAAGTCACACGTGTGGTGAATATATTTTTTAATTTTTATTTATTGTTAATATATATTTTTTAAAATTTTTTTTACTAACATATATGATAATCAATTTTTTTTATTAAACACGGTGATTAGACTTTGATTACTCATTTGATATTTTTCATGGCTAGCCCAAAAAATGTAATACCTTCCGTTTAATTTTTTTTAATATTTTAATTGACCTTCGAGCGTAACGCGAACACCATAACTGAGTATATACAGTTGCTCATTCGTTATGGGTGCACACATTTTACATAAATCAAATGTGTATGATTTTATTTTATTTTATTTTTAAAAAAATAAAAGAGTAAAATATGAGCACAAAAAGTCGCGAGCGGGGGCTGCCGCCTTGTGAATGATGTCAGCTGTTAGATTTCGTGTGGTTGGTCAGTGAGTGTAAAAGAGAGGAACTCTTCGGCGTGAACAGAATGGCATCTGAAGGGTAAGAATGTCATTAGGTTATCATAATTCACACAAGTCTAGTTTCAATATTTACATGCTTGTTTTTATATTTTAAAAATATTTTAAAAAAGTTTCAATTATTTTTATTTTTTATTTTAAATTAATATTTTTTATATTATTTTAATATACTAATATTAAAAATAATTTTTTAAAAATATAAAAATATTATTTTAATATATTTTTAAATAAAAATATTTTAAAAATAATAACAATCACGTACATACTAACACGTAACACGTGTCTTGCAGACAGAATTGGATCACTGATGAAGTTTTTGTCGTTCATAACATGAAAAAAATAAAATAAAATTAATGCTCTTAATTTCTGTAAAATGGTTATTATACCCACTACCCAGAGAGACTTGGTTTTATTGGCCGAGTTCCAACTTGCATGGTGGCGGTGGGAATTTTCAGGGGTGTTTCTTAACTGGAGTTTTCTAAAGATTTTAATTTTTAATTTTTAATTTTTAAATTATTTTTTAAATATTTTTAAATATATGTGGTACCAAAAAATATTTTTTTAAACAAAAATATTATTTTAATATATTTTTAAAAAATATTTTAAAAACAATTATTATTACTCGCTCAAATAAATTTAAAAATAAAGTACAAAAAAACGATCATACTCTTCGTAATTGGAAGATTTAAGTCATTAAAGCAACATTGGCTGGCTAGCGAACTCATTGAAGATTTGCACTCCAAGTGGAAAGAAAACCACCAAAGTGCATACTGTAAAGTGAATATTTATTTTTGGGTTAAAATCATGTTTTCTGATTTTTTTAAGTTTATTTTTTAAAATTATTTTGATATACTATTAGGGAAAATAATTTTTAAAAAATAAAAAATTATATATTTTTAAATAAAAAATACTTTAAAAAAACAATCACTACTTTACTTCTAATCACTATTAAAATCAATAACAACCCTCAAATATAGCACTTATCTATCTGTATTCTTGCATACAAACAAAAAGTAGGCCACACAATTTCAGCAAATCCCAAATTAATATATAATTATTAATATCACTCCAAGTCAAGTACATTAGTTTACTATTCATAAAATATTTTTATTTTTACATTTTAAAAATTCTTTAAAAAAATATTTTTTAACTTTAAATTATTTTTTTAAGTTTTGAAGTTATTTTGATGTGTTAGTATCAAAAATAAAAAATATTATTTTAATATATTTAAAAATTTAAAAATTAGTTGCTATTATAATACCAACTTAGAAAATATAAAGTATCTTTAATAAATTTTTCAAAACATATGGATTATATACAGGTAAATGATGCCTCTATAATAAATATTTATTAAGTTGGATGGACAAAATGCCAAAACCAATGGATTTATTCCAATTATTACATTTAAATTCAATGCATAACCCCATGAAATTTTCTAATATAGGC